TAGCAAGGTTAGGTGTCTAGAGCGCAGTATTTCGGTCCCCGCTTGGACTTAGGAAGGTGTCGTGATCATGGCCTGGTGGTAGGCATCAGTATCCTGAAAAGCTGCCCAGGGTCTCCAAGTGTCCCGAAAGAGCTCCTCAGTGTTCTGGAGCGTAGAGGTCAGGTTTTCCATCAAGTAGATCTCATTAACCTTAACAAGCCAGAGACAGAGAGAGGGGCGTCTAGATTGCTTCCACAACAGTGGAATACATAAACGTGCAGCATTCAAGAGGTGTCTAGACAATGATTTTTTGTATTTTCTGGTGGACATGTTGTTCAGGTGTAGCAAGCATGCAGCAGGGTTGTCCGTCAAGTCCACCATCACCAGGTCCCTCATAACGGCAGTCACCTCCCCCCAGAACGGGAGCAATAGAGGGCAGGACCAGAATATATGTAGCAACGTGCCTGGAGCGTTCTGACACCTCCAGCATACAGATGGAACTTGAGGGTACATAATGTGGAGGGCTGTTGGGACTCGGTACCACCTTGAAACTATTTTATAGCCCAACTCTTGGGTCTTGGATGCAATGGAAGAATGATGTGCCAAGTGGAGAATACGGTCTTTTTGAGCCGGCGTGAAAGTGGTGTGTAGATCATTTTCCCATTTGGCCAGGAATGTCGGGTAAGACTCTGAAGGGGGGGATATCAGCATGGAGTACAGGAGGGAGATCGCATGACGGGTGGGTATCTCCTCCTTGCAGACCTTCTCAAATGGGGTAAGGGGCCTGGAGAGCCGGTGGTGACTGGGAATAGAGAGCAGGAAGTGCCGTAGTTGGAGGGAGCTCCAGTGGTCTAATGGAGGGTCTGTCAGGTTGGAAATTTCCCCGACCGATAGCCACCGGCCAGAGGGGTGTAGGTCGTATACGCGGAACTTGTTGGCTTCCCGGAGGCGGCGGAAGCGGGGGTCTTGAACACCGGGCGGGAAGTCTGGGTCACAAATCACTGGGGTCATAGGGGAGGGGAAGGGGGAGATGTCCGTAGATCTAAAAAGCGATCTGGATAGCCGAATCGTGATGCTGGCGACGTACACTGTACGTCGTCAGTCACGAAGGGGTTAAACCAACTTCGGAGTGGCAGATTCTATACAACGTACATATGCTAATGTTTTCAGCATTGCATATCGTGGGTGGGGTTGGTGTTTTTGCACAGGCTACCCACGCTAAGAGTTTTCTTCATCTGACCCTATTTATATTTCAATATTTTATTTCTTGTAAAAGAACAAGAAAACTGAATAAGCCAAATCCAAGTGAATGAAGTATACAAATCTACATGAAAACCATGTACGTCCAATACACCTAAATGTTGTTAACCCCTTCTTAAGGACCAAATTTCAAGTCAATGTGGAACTATAAGTAATATTGTTATAAATGAAAAGAATTTGTGTGTGCATTTCTTCTGTACAAAAGCCAACAACAAGAAACAAAAGTTAACTAGAAAAACAATCTACTGATGACATAACTCTTTAACCTGCATGCTGTAACATTCCGTAGAACCCTATTCTGAAGCATTCTAAGCATTTTTATAAAACACTTTGAGAAAAGATACTAAAATAGGTTGGTTCAGGATCTGAATATATTTTCAGAGTACTTGCCTTGAGCCAGTCTTTCCAGTCTTTTCCCATGTTCTGGTGGTATGGAATACCTTGAGACAGAAAAAAAAAAATAATGCTTGAGAACAAAAAACTTAAAATTATAAAATTATGAATTTCATTTAAAAAACACATTTAAAGAACAGCATTTAAAACACAACTCAATTCATTTTGCATGAGATAAAAGATAAAGTAGTTGAAAATTGTCATTCATTGACCATTCTTCCAGAAGCGCATTTGTGAGGTCAGGTACTGATGTTGGACGAGAAGGCCTGGCTCGCAGTCTCCGCTCTAATTCATCCCAAAGGTGTTCTATCGGGTTGAGGTCAGGACTCAGGACAGTAAAGTTCCTCCACCTCAAACTCGCCTATCCATGTCTTTATGGACCTTGCTTTGTGCACTGGTGCGCAGTCATGTTGGAACAGGAAGGGGCCATCCCTAAACTGTTCCCACAAGTTTGGGAGCATGGAATTGTCCAAAATGTCTTGATATGCCAATGCCCTAAGAGTTCCCTTCACTAGAACTAAGGGGCCAAGCCTAACCCCTGAGAAACGACCCCACACCAGAATCCCCCCTCCACCAAACTTTAGACTTGGCACAATGCAGTCAGGCAAGTGCCGTTCTCCTGGCAACCACCAAACCCAGACACGTCCATCGGATTGCCAGAGAAGCGTGATTCGTCACTCCAGAGAATGCGTCTCCACTTCTCTAGAGTCCAACGGCGTGCTTTATACCACTGCATCCGATGCTTTGCATTGCACTTGGTGATGTAAGGCTTGGACGCAGCTGCTCGGCCATGGAAACCCATTCCATGAAGCTCTCTACACACTGTTGGTGTGCCAATCTGAAGGCCACATGAAGTTTGGAGGTCTGTAGCTATAGACTCTGCAGGCAGTTGGCAACTTCGGTGCACTGTGGGCTTCAGCATGCACTGACCCCGCTCTGTCATTTTACGTGGCCTACCACTTCATGGCATAGTTGCTGTTGTTCCCAGTTGCTTCCATTTTGTTATAATACCATTAACAGTTGACAGTGAAATATTTAGTAGCAAGGAAATATCACGGATGGACTTATTGCACAGGTGTCAACCTATTACGGTACCACACTTGAGCTCCTGTGAGCGACCCATTCTTTCACAAATGTTTGTAGAAGCAGTCTGCATGCCTAGGTGCTTGATTTTATACACCTGGGCCATGGAGGAGATTGGAACACCTGAATCCAATTATTTGGAGGGGTGTCCCAATACCTTTGGCAATATAGTGTATACTAATGTCCTCCGATGACCCAAAACTCAACATATAGTGGGCTATTGTCCGCTATATGTTGACAGAGCCGCGCCGCAGCCAGGACAGATACCGACAAGTGTCACGATCCACCCCACTGGCTGAATGACAGCTGGCTGTCTCTCTGGAGGCAGAGCCAGCTGTGTTCGCCCCTTCCCCCATCCATCCCTCCAGTCAGTGCTGGAGGAACAGGGAAGGGAGGGGGGAATTCCTGCGGTAGTGGTGACTGACAGTCATAGATCTCTGCAGGGAGAAGATCGTGAACTGAGTGATTGGCAGTATGTGATTATTCAGTTCTCAATCAATAGAGCCAACATGCGACAGCTGCAGTGTATCTCACATTGTCTCCAACTATGGGGATGAGTGCATTTCACTATCCCCATATTTCTCCTTTAACTCATTTAATGAATAAGTCTGACTGTATACAGAAAATACATAAGCTAAATCAGTCCTGAAGTATTGCCATGCTAATAATTCTCATTCCTTCTAACCCCATAACTCAGGGGCGGCAAACACAAGGCCCGCAGGCCGAATCCGGCCCGCCGGACCTTAAGAAAATAAAAAGGCGATTAAGTAAAAATAATAAAACAAATGAACATTTTTTTACAAAGTAAATAAAAACAGAAAAAAATAAAACCAGCCCCACGCGAATAAACGCGCAGTTTATAAAACCAGTAGCAACTGAATGCAGAGGCAACTATTTATGATAATAAAGAGTAGATGCATAGTCCTATACAACCGACCCTTTGAGGGTAACCATACTGCTGATGCGGCCCCTGATGAATTTGAGTTTGCCACCCCTGCCATAACTTGTACATGTGTTAGATGACTACCTAATGTGAGTGAAGAGGAGGGAATTGTTAAGGACATTTGTGTGTGGTAGATTAATCATATGTATATAGGACTGGCCTCTGGAGAAGAATAGGTTCAGGTAGCTACAACAGGAGGTATGTTTTCAAGGCTTCCAGCCACATGTTCTTTTTAAAGCACTAACCTACGCAAACGACTGCATTATTTCAGGTATGTATTTAGATTTACTTCACTGACAATTATCTTGCACACCAGGATGACTACAGTTTTTCTTACAAAACTGGGATTGAATACATGCTTTAGAAAGCTTATATAGGTTTACCGCAGATTTCTTAAATAAAGTTTGCTAAAAATCCTTGTAATTAACATAAGTAACCTAGAAAGGATTGTTTTTTTCTCTCAACAAAACTGGAGTTTCACTTGACATGGCAAATATGTTTAATGCTGGTTAATACTATGTTAAAGCACCTATGTTGATGTAATAGTATTCACTTTTAACATCGAAAGAAGAGTTTGCTGAAAACTAACAGCTACAAACGCAAGTGTAATCTTAAAATGCATAAAAAGGAAGAAAAAAAAAAACCTATGATGCAAATAGGGCTTCTTCTACATATTGAACATTTGTTACACTTTAGGGCAATGCACTGTTAGAAGTACACAGGAGATTTGGAGAGCCTTAAAGGGCAGGTTATGTTTAGAGAACATATATACATATAATATATACACACAAAATATATATATATATTTTTTTTTCCCAAGGACTGTACAAAGGACAAGGGATATCTGTTATGTATGGGAGAAAAGACAAGTTTGCTTTCATTATAGGAAAGGGTTTGTTATGGCAGAAAAGGTTACTCTGTGTAAATCCCCTTTCACATGAAGATGCAATGGTAAACAATAATGGAATGCTTTACGCATACCTAATAGCATCCACAATTATTATTTCTAAAGAATAGCATGGTAATAATATGATCCAGAAACTTTTTCCACCTCAGAGAAAAATTAGCCACAAATATATCAGGGGTTAGCCTTTCATGGGACCAAAAAAGTGTCCAAGTTTGGAGAAGCTGAATTTGATGGACATCTGTCCTACTCGATCAAGTGTGTAACTTGATTAAATAAAGTTGGCCTCAGTGTGGTATACAACTGACATATCAGTTAAAAATACACCTCATTTGCTAGCTGTAAAAAATAAATAAAAATAAAATCAAGCTATACTGAAAAAATAAATAAAATATAAATAAATAAATCAACAACAGCAATCAAAGTATACCAGCAGTATTAGACAGACACAGGTTCTAACCCTTACATACTATAAATCAAACGTTTTGGATGGAAGTCTGATTTAAATTGATAATAAATTATATAAAACGACAGTTTAAAAATGTATGAACATAAAAAAGTGTAGCTTGCATTAACTGGTTGCAATAACTGGTTCCATCAAATATGGCTACGTCTGTGCTTTAAATCATTGGCTCTGAATGAACTGAATGCCCATGATAACAAAATGAGGAATAAACGCCCTATTTTTTACATTTGTGATGAAAGTCAGGCAAGCAGATACTTTTTGATTTAAGAATTTTTGCGGTGCTTCACACTGGTTTAGGGGAGGGCTCTTTGACTCCTTTGACTGCCACGTGACTTTATAAGTCTAAATCTAAAATGCCCCTTGCCCTGAGAACATTTTTCTTGCAGCAAAGAGCTAGGAATGTGCCAATGTGTGTTTTCCTAGTTCTCAGACCCGCTGTCAACCAGAAACATTAGTCACAGTGTTACAGACAAAATATCCCCAATAGAGATCCCAAAAAAGACAGTACACATCGATCAATTTTCAAAATAGTATACATTAACAAAAATGATACTCAAAATCTTGAAAAAAAATAGTATGAGTATCATTTTTGTTAATACTATTTTGAAAATTAATAGTTTGATGTTTACTATCCTTTTTGAGATCTCTATTGGGGATATTTTGTCTGAGATTTATATATAAAAGAGACCTAGGCAGGTTACTAAACTCCATATAGTCATTTGTTTTTACTGCAGTCTCCTTCCTTATAGTCACAGTTCCTGTTAGAGTGGACCTTTACCCTCATCTTTAAAACAACAACAAACACAACTTTATAAATGTCTAGTAATGACAATCTACAAACACATACTTCTAGATAATTGCCAGCTTTGCATACCTTAAGGCTGCCCATACACCTTGCGATCATGGGACAACACTTTTCGTCCCATGATCGAACCGTCGTACGATTTTCGTACGGCGGCCCCATCCTGCCCCGATTATCGCAAGGTTGGGTCAGCAGTAATTAAAAGAAAGCACCTAGATGAATTCCGGTAATCGACTGCACGTATTTTCGTGTGTGCATGTGCAGTGTAGATTGTACGAATTTTGACGTACGTAAACGCCACCAACCTTGCGAAAATAGTATGATCGACCAAAGTTTTCTAGCCTGCTGGTTAGTCAACTCGATCGATTGTACAGTATTTGCGGTTGTACACTGCCCATCAACCGTACGAATATCGGACGAAAACGCGATCGCATACGAAAATCGGCCGATATTCGTAAGGTGTATGGGCACCTTATTTCTCTTTTTTTCCCCAGTCTTCTGACAGTGGCCATGTTTACTAAGGGCAGGTTACTAGATCTTTTTTTCTTCCTGAAAATTGGCACGTGACTAGACATGTGACCAAATGTCCCAGGACCTGTAGCACTCCTTACCGCAACTCCCAGATTATTAATGGGTGCTTGCAATGACTGCGGATGCCACCGCACTCAGAACAGTCTTGAATATAAACGTCACCAGCACGACAGGGACTCAAATGTCAGTGCCAATCAATTTATTGATCGTAATAGTCACTCAAAATATCATCAAGTGCTTTCGGGGCCACGCAGGGTCCCCTTTATCAGGTTCAAAGTAACAATCAATAAATTGGATTGGCACTGATATTTGAGTCTC